AAAGTGGTGGAAGTTGACATTCATCAAGATCAGTACAGCTTGTTCCATTGCCAGAGTAGCCACTCAGGCACGCACAGGAGAAACTTCCAGGGCGGTTCGAGCAGCGTGCTTTCGGTGCACACGTGTGCTCGCCACTGTGGCATTCGTCGTTGTCAATGCAGAACATCCCGTTGCCATTGTAACCAGATCGGCACGCACATGTGTGCCCTCCCGCCGTGTTGGAGCAGGTTGCGTTGGCATGACAACCATGGCTGCCGGCAGAACACTCGTTCACGTCTTCGCAATGCATGCCATTTCCTAGATCGAAGCAAAAAGCAGACAGCGATACCGAACAGCAAAATTAAATCCAACCAGTTTGACAGAACCAGGATACCGTAAGGTGAGACATGTTATTATAACGAGTCACAAATTTAACAATTGTCCAAAATCCACAGGATAACGAGAAAATACGGTAACGATCTTGCAATCTTCAGGCATATCCACACATAGAACATATTTAGCCTTACAGCCACAGCAGAACTTATTATAACGAAGAAATGTCACCCGTTAAAACGTTAGATTTGCTTCCTCGTTATATATAGATGTCTTACAGTACTAAAGCCGGGCTTATTCCGGTAGATGCCAACGTCAACGCTCGGCTTTTACTCACACCAGGCTTCTATTCAAACCAGGTATTTCTTTGTTTGTCAACACTAGAATCAGGCTTGTGTGCCCACAGTTTATCTTGATATTCAGGCTTGTATTCAAAACAGGCTTCCGTGCGAGGCACTACTTTAACTGATAATTCTGGCTCGACACATCTTGAAGAAGATCCGGTAAGTACATGCTAAGTACTAAAAACGAGTGTTTGAAGAAAACTTTCTATCATTATTTACCGCCAGAAGCCACCAAATTTTTTTTAGCGCCATTTGTTCCACGGATGTGTGCAAAACACAAGTCAGCAGAAAAATACAGTGTCCATCTTCGGCACTACTGGGATCTGGAAATGTCAGGCAACAGGGATAAATTCAGGCTTTATTTACCGACTAGAAGACCAGCGCTGCGTGATGGTGACCTCACTCCCGTAATAAGCCCATTGCGCATTGCCAAATATGGGAGGTATGAGTAATGCATGTGAGTACACTGGGATCAGCAATGCACTGTTCAACACCCCAGGCGACCATGCCCAGGTGGCTGCGTGGGGCGCTTGTGGTACAAATTACGGCATTGCGCAATGGGCGTATTGAATCACATGTAAGCCAGATCCTCTTTTGCCATTTGAAGCTCCCCTTAGGCTGTGTTTACAACTGGCGTGTGGACGAGGTACGATGGCGGTTCAAGCATGCCCAGAGCTTTCAAAAGAAACAGCAATTTAAAGCAGCCGCCGAGTACTAATATTTTGACTCCGCCAGTCTGACCAGCGTGTACGCCAGTACGCGGCTGATACACGCTGAAAACTCCAACATGTTGGAATGGCCAATTCTGCACGTTCCAATACGCATGACGCCCCAAAGGCCAGCAAAATTACGCACGGACGCGTGGTTTCAAGCGTACACGCGCCAGTTGTGAACACAGCTTCACTCGTACGGAGCTTGAAAGTTTTGCACAGAGTCATGGTAGTCCGACAAGGCATTTGTATGTGCACTGAGCAAACAACAGCTGGCGGAAAAACGGGAAAAGCCCGATGGGACAACCCCGCTATCAAGGCTGGCCTGGCCACAAACACTCAAAGGTCAAATGTGCTGTGAACACAAGCACTATTGGCCTACAGCAGTTTGTTCATGCCAGCGCTTTGATGAGTTCTCGTACGTATGGTGGTAGGGGCATAGCTGGTCCACCCCCCCCCCCCCTTTAGGGGGTGAACGCCCGCATATTATGTGTATGACGGCTGCTGGTGCATGTCATTCACCGTAGGTATGTGCATGCTGAACCTAGGTCGGAAATTTTTTTGGGGGGGGGGGGGGAGGGTGCACATGCCCCTTTGTCCGATGCGGGCCACGCGCCTGGATGGGGTGCTTTTGCCTATCTTCCCAGAAGGTGTCGACACTTCATTGGGCAGAGAGGGCTTGGCAAAGTGCCGGAAAAAGCCTCCTAGCCTATAGTGTATTGATTTGTGTGCGCAAAGCTATATGCGAAAATTCACAGCTACATTAACGTTTTCCTACATGCATTCAAGTCAATAATTCGTCAGGCATCTACCATAGGAACAGCGCTTGCCTGTCTTTTTACAAAGAATTTCACAGTTATAGGAGATGTGGGGGGGGGGGGGGGAGATGAATCCGAGAGGCCTCTACCCGGGAGAGTGCTTCGTTGAGTACAGAGCGTGGAACCGTTCCCCGGAAACTTACCAGTGAATCCTGGTTTGCAGACGCATGCATAACTGGCCACCGTGTTCTGACAGAAGCTCGTGGCATTGTTGCAGAGGCCTAGCGATGAATTCGATGCGCATTCGTCAATATCCGCGCACAGTTGAGCACCCTTGACTCCAGTAGCGACAGCCGAGTAGCCGGCATCACACGCACACGTGTATGAGCCCGTTGTGTCGACGCACCGTGAATTGGCCGTGCACCAGAAGAGAGGAATGCGCCGCTGCGGCGGGATGACAAAACCTGCGCTAGTGAATATCGGTGACAAGTGCACCAAGAGCGAGCCAGTGCATTCGTCAACGTTAGAACAATTCAAACCATTACCCGTGTAGCCAGGCTTGCACATGCATGTGAAACTGCCGACGCTGTTCGTGCAGCCGGCGTTCGCGTCGCACGGAGGCCTGCTGCTCGCGGCACACTCGTCCTGGTCCTGGCACAGCGTTCGTCCGTCGCCACGGTAACCCGGGGCACAAGTGCAGTTGTAGGCGCCGTCGGTGTCTGTGCACACGGCGTTGCTCACGCAACGGTGCAGTGGACTCGCGGGCACAGCACTCGTGTTGCACTCGTTCACATTCTCGCACCAGGTTCCGTTGCCAGAGTAGCCAGCATTGCACGTGCAGAAGAACGAGCCAGCCAAGTTGTTGCAGGTGGCGCTCGCAGGGCACGAGGCGGGCACGCGGTCCAGGTCGCATTCGTCGTCATCGATACAGCCAACGAGGCCCGGCCTGTAACCCACGTCGCACACGCAGATGTACGAACCGTCGGTGTTGTTGCACTGTGAGTTGTCGTGGCACAGGTCGGCGATGGTAGTGCACTCGTCAACGTCCGAGCACGTGGCGCCTGAATAGCCCGCCAGGCAGTTGCAGTGATATGAACCGGCCGTGTTCAGGCAGGTGGAGCGTTCCAGGCTGCAGGGGTGGGCGCCGAGCGCACACTCGTCTTGATCGTAGCACACGGGCATGCCCGGCACGGTGCTGCTAGCCGACGTCAGGTACCCGCTGGAGCACGGGCACGTGAACGAGCCGTTTGTGTTGGCGCAAGTCGAGCCGGTCTGGCAGAGCTTCACGGCACCGAGCGTCCCCTCGTCCTTGCACTCATTTATGTCGCTACACGTTCGCCCGTCACCCGTATAACCCAGCCGGCAGCTGCACTGATGACCGAGCAGCAGATCGATGCACTCGGCATTGGGGCTGCAGCTGTTCAGCTCCGGCGAAGCGCACTCGTCGATTTCCGTGCAGCCTCTCGCTCCGTCCCCGGTGAATCCTGGTTTGCACGTGCATGAGAAGGAGCCGGGCAAGTTGCGGCACAGGGCGTTCTGGATGCACGGCTTGTTCGCGCACTCGTTCACGTCGTAACAGTGTACTCCCCTCAGCTCGTGGCCGCTTGCGCACTGGCACTCGTACGAGCCGATGATGTCGACGCAGGTGGCGTTGGCACCGCACAGAGCCATGCCGGCGACACCGCCGCGAGTCATGCATTCGTCAACGTTTTTGCACACGCCGTCGATGAGCGTGTACCCGCGGACACAGTCGCACGCGTAGCTGCCGGGCACGTTGCGGCAGTTCGCGTGAAGTGGACAGCTGGCCAGTCCGCTGCCACACTCGTTCTCGTCGGCGCAGGACGTGGTCGGGTCGGAGGCGGCGGCTGCGGTTGCGTAACCGAGCCTACACTTGCACGAGTAGGTTCCAAACGTGTTGTTGCACGTTGTGGTGGTCAAGTCACACTTGTGAGCCGATGTGCTGCATTCGTCATTGTCCTGGCAAACCTGCGTGCTGCTCACGACGGCCAAACTTGTGCCCTGGTGTACGCATTCGCATTTGAAGCTTCCGGGTACATTAACGCACTCGGTGTTCAGTCCGCAATTGTGTGCACCGCTGCTACATTCATCGATATCGGCACAAGACACACCAGAGTAACCAGAGAAACACGGACAAGTGTATGAACCATTGTTGTCCGTGCAGGTTGATGTGTGTGGGCAAGTTTGCACCTCAATGCACTCGTCTATATTTTCACAGCTTGTTCCATTTCCAGTGAAGCCAGCCTGACAACTACAAGAGTAGCTACCTTCAAAGTTACTGCAGTCAGCGCCAAGCACGGGGCATTGGTGTGTTCCGGACTGGCATTCATTTTCATCAGAACATGTGTACCCATCACCACCATAGCCAGTTGGACAAATGCAGCTGTGAGTCGAAGCTGTACTTGTACTGGTGGCGGCGGTGCTAGGGTTGGGTGTGCACGAGGCTCTGCTATCACACGTTCTACCTCGTCTCAGGCACGGGTCCTTGGGATTGCACAGTGTACCGTTGCCCGTGAATCCAGCCTTGCAGCGGCAGCTGAATGCTCCTGCAGAGTTCTCGCACACTCCGTTGTCCTTGTTGCAATGATGCGTGCCAAGAAAACACTCGTCGTCGTCGATACACGCCGTAGCGTTATCGGTGTACCCGCTTGCTGGGCACTTACACGCGTAAGAGCCGTAGGTATTGATGCAGAACGACGGCGGTTTAAGGTGACAACGGTGCGTGCCCAGGGTGCATTCGTCCACAGTGGTGCAGACCACACCATCCCCGCTGAATCCGGGTTTGCATGTACACGTGAAGGATCCATTGGTGTTTGTGCAAGCGGCCTCGTGGGAACATCCTGCATCACCATTCCTGCATTCATCGATATCTGAAAAAAAAGTAGCGAAGTGCAAGACAGAACGGAAGAGAAGGGTTACTTTGAGGAACTGCATACGCACTAATGCAGGGTCAGAAGCTAGTTGGAGACCACAGCAGTGACCAATCAACACGTGATTCGCTTTTGGTGTGATAGAAAGTACCTTCACAGGTACAAAGAGACACACATATACACACGCACACACCTACACACAAAATATGTAAGCGATGCACGCACGTATAACCATGCAAAAATGCATATGAACACACACACACACACCACCTACCTTGACAAGTCAATTCGGGCTGCGTATTGAAACCGGCAGGACACAGACATGTGAAGGAGCCAACATTGTTGACGCAGCTGAGCCCAGCCGGACAAACACTCTGTGATAACAAACATTCATCAACATCCTTGCAAGATCGATTAAGGTATTGGAATCCAACTCTGCAGGTACAGGAGAAGCCGGTGTCAAGTGTAGTGTTCAGGGTGCACATGACTCCAGCTCCACAGCCAACTGACCCTGCGCAATAGTCAGTCCTTGAGCAACTGCCATCACCTGTATGTCACAGTATAGAACACAAAGGAGAGAGGGAGTGAGAGAGAGAGTGAGAGAGAGAGAGAGAGAGTGAGAGAGAGAGAGAGAGTGAGAGAGAGTGAGAGAGAGAGAGTGAGAGAGAGAGAGAGAGAGAGAGAGAGAGAGAGAGAGAGAGAGAGAGAGAGAGAGAGAGAGAGAGAGAGAGAGAGAGAAGAGAGAGAGAAAGAGAGGGAGAGAGAGAAAGAGAGTGAGAGAGAGAGTGAGAGAGAGAGAGTGAGAGAGAGAGTGAGAGAAAGAGAATGAGAGAGAGAGTGAGAGAGAGAGATAGGGTGAGAGTGAGAGTGTGTGTGTGAGAGAGAGAACTCACTACAGTCTGTTTCAAAAAGAAATGCAATCAGGTTTGGGTCTTAAAAAGTATGAAGATAAGGGAAATTTGGACAACAAAGTACATAGAATGGCTTGTTAGGACACGGCAAATTGTTCTGTGAAGGTTTCGGAACAATTGGACCAGCCGTTAAGGAGTTAGAATTTCGGCCAGGTTTCCGGCCTTTTCCCATGGTTTACAATTTGCCCAGGAAGCCAGTATCGATTTTTTTATCAAAACCCAAGATTTATCCTTTCCTTTTTGGCCTTGTGGTTATGAATGCTGTCTGCTGACCATGAAGTTGTGAGTTCAAATCCTAACCTATCCTCAAGTCAAACTTTTTTTTAATTGTTTTGGTGATCAAGCTGGTACAAGACAAAGAAGATGGCTGCACCAAGCGACTTGTTGACTGTTGTTGGAGCTCGCGCTTCCTGCCGAACTGACTGACACTTGACTGGCTCACTCCATGTGAACACACCCACAACACTGCAATGGTGTGAGTGAATATGGAAGTCATCGCGCTGTAGCTTTTTGAGATTTATTTTAGTATTTCAAGATCGCCAATTTATTTGAATTTAGCAGTTAACGCCGTCTTCTATCAGCGTTCTATGCAGACTCCACTGTAGCCACAGTTCATGCTTCACACAGTTATACACCACTACCCGAAAACGGTCTCTTGGCTACAAATTCTTCCAAAAATAATAAAATCCAAATTTTTGGGCCAGGCCCATCTACCTGACCATTTTGTAGCCAAGAGACCGCTTTTGAGTAGTGGTGCATAACTGTGTGAAGCAGTACTTGCACACAAAAATCACGGTTCGCACGAGACTCAGCCAAAGGCCAAGTTTTCCGCATCTGCAGGAGCGCCACCGCCCTCTTGCACAAATGAGAACGATAAACCCAGATTCGCCTTACCATTGTCAGTATAATGCTTGGGACACGAGCACTGGAACGAACCGACCGTGTCCGTGCAGACAGCGTTTTGTTTGCACGGCGAAGGCTGCCCCAGAGAAACGTCACACTCGTTGACATTATCGCATTGACGCGTGATCTCGTTGAATTCGTAACCGATGCCACAGCTGCAGGTGATGGCAAGGCTCGTGTTGCTGCGGACGCACGTCGATCCGGTCGGGCAGAAGTTCGTGTCCGTCAGGCACGGGTCGTACACTGTAGAGGTTGAGCAACGACAATGTTACCACACGGACGAGCGCACATATGCACGCACACAAACAAGCAAGCAAGCACACACGCACACACACGCACGTGCGCACCCACCCGCCCACCCACCCACCCGCCCCCACACACACCTACACACACCCCCACCCACACACACCCACACACACCCACACACATCCACACACACCCACACACACCCACACACACAAACCCACCCACACCCACCCACACCCACCCACACCCACCCACACCCACCCACACCCACACCCACACACACACCCACCCACACACACAAACACACACCCACACCCACACACACACCCACACCCACACACACACACAAGTACAAGTACAAGCATCGTAAACCATGCCACTTCTCATCGTTGGTACTAGTTCTCTTCCGAAATGCTCCGAGCTTCAAAGCATTCATTCGGAGGAGGGTCCGAGAATAAAACCTAGAATTGGCTTGCTACAGTACCATGAAATACCTCCGAAACCCTTCTAAATCCCGTGTCAAGTCATGCATGTTTGTCTCCATACTTCGTGAGACAAGACAAGATTTAGTGGACATTGAAGATGTGTTTTTAGAATGCGTACATGTAAAAGTAAGGTTGCGTTTGGTTGGGCATTTTCGGAATGTAAATGAAAACCATTCTGGAATGGGAATCGGCAAGAATCACCTGACCAAACTAACGCGCCAGAATCAATTAGGAATCACTTGACATAACAATACCATGATGTCTTTGTGGAACGGCAGCTGTCTTTTCTTTTACCCGACTCTAGTTTCCTTGAGAGAGTCATGGTACTTCTTAGTGCATGATTTGAGGCACTTGAACCTGTTGATACATTGTTTGGCTCGTGGCAGCCATTATCATTTTTGATTCCGGAATGAGAATGCTCATTCCAGCATGTGAGGTGGAATGATCATTCTCCAAAAAGAATCATTCTCAGTGATTCACATTCTGGAATCATGTGGAATGTGACCAACCTAACGCACTTTTTTGACCAACCAAACGGGCGAGAATGATTCCGAGTGATTCCAAGTGATTCCCATTTGGGAATGTGACCAACCAAACGTAACCTTAGGCCTTACTGGTTACTGGCCCTATTCAACTCAGCAAAAGATGCTGATGATGACTGAATGAAACATACAAGAATAAAGTTGATTTCTTTGTTTGTCCTCACCCACTTGGCTCTACACTACAATATGCAGACCTTCCTGTGTACATGTGGGTCTGTGTCCCTGTGTGTGTGTGTGTGTGTGTTTGTGCGTGCGCATGCGTGTGTGTGTGTCCCTGTGTTTGTGTGTGTTTGTGTGTGTGGGGAGGGGGAGGGGGACGTGTGCTTGTGCGTATCTGTGTGTGGGGAGGGGGACGTGCATTCGCACACGAGTGCACGTGCGTGCGTTTGTGTGCGTATGTGTAAGGTATATGGTGTGTGGGGGGGGGGGGTATTCGTTTGTTTGAGCATTCCTGCAAGTGTGCGTATCTTTTTTTCACTACCGGATAACATCGCGACTGTGAGCGGCGTTCTATAGTCCTGCCGTAGACATTGTGTTCGAGTGCTACCGTTATGGGGAACTGGACTAGGAGTGCTGACGGCTGCAAGCTCAGCACCCCGTGGCCGCTTGATTTCTCAACGGACGCCAATATCCCAAACTGTAGTAGGCATATACATGTACCGCCAATGTTCACTAAAGTCAACAAAATTATTGAGCTTACAATTGCAGGTGACCGGTATATTTCCGATGCGGAATGCCGCCCAGCCGTTCACCAATTCGCAGATCGGGGCTTGACCATCGGTTGTGCCATACTCAGGTTTGTAGCCTGGGATGCAGGTCACGTTGAGCTGAGAGCCAATCTTAGTCGGTCCCACACTGCCTTGACTAACCAGGGGCTCATAGACGCAAGAATCTAATGCACACACAAAACAACATGCCCAGATTTGAGAGCAAGATGAAACCGGGAAAGGGTCTGAAGAAACAAATTGACTGTCCCCATCCGGATTCGAACCAAGGATCTTCGCTCGAGGCCAGCGATGCTCTAACTAAGTTCTTCCTGGCTGTTACTCAGAGTTTCGTATTAAAAAAAAACACTCGCCAGGCGGCTTTTTCTTGAATTGAATTTTTATTTAGACATCTCCTGGCACGTCAACAGACCGGAAACTAGTCAGTTGAGATGAAGGCTGAGAGCCAACCATGGCAGAATAGATTATACGAAGAGGGAGAACAGAGAGAAAAGAGAGAGAGAGAGAGAGAGAGAGAGAGAGAGAAAGGAAATGAAAGACAACTTACCTGAGCAGATGTAGCCGGCGGCGTTTGCGAGAGGAAGTCCGTGCGCCGCTCGCCAATAGGTCGGAAGGATTTCTCTGGCAGCCCTCGGCAAGCACAGAAGGAGAGGGAGGTAGTTCTCCTGGTATGCCACCCACATGTTCAGCCCCTGCGCGGAGTTCATGCAGGACACGCGCACCACGCTGTGTAGCAACGTCGCCCCGGCAGCGCTGCTCAGGTTGGTCTTGACGCCGACCGGCAGGCCCAGGTCCACTGGACACGGGGCGGGAGCGCACGGCGTCGGGGCGGACGGCTCGGCGCTCGGGCCGCACGTGATCGTGAACGGCGCGGACGGCGTGTGCCCGGCCGGGCACTGGAGTTGCCGGTGTGTGTTGCGCTGCAGCTCGATCACGCCGAGCCCGGTCAGGTTGAACGTGCACGTGTCTGCGGCATCGGAGCATTGATTTCAAAACAACAATGCAAACGAGAACAGAATGCGCTTAGTGACCCACAGCAAGAGAGGGTGTGCACGTAATTATTTATGTTGGAAAACAACGCGAGTGACCTGCAGGTCACGTCAAAATTTGGAGTTTTACGCCAAATTTGACGTGAAACTGTGCGTCACGTCAAAAATTATGTGCAGCTTAACCTCTCTATTCTTGCACAAGCCATTTGTACTTACTTCACGCATGTACCCACACCAACCACCACTACTCCCACAAATCCTGCACTCTGGGCGACTCCCTGTACAAAATCATGCATCGAAACTTTTTCTCCCCGGTTTTGGACGTTCCACGTGGACCGACTTTTTTGTAATGCCATGGCCGTACCGGCCGTACCAATGGCGCCGGCCCTGTTGTCCCACAACAAATTTTCAAGGCAAAACACACACACACACACGCGCGCGCGCGACTTGAGACATCGTCCTTGCACTGTGCGTACCACACACGGTTTCCCGCGCACACTTCGCCGCATACCAGGACACGACCTAGTAGCTTCTCACCTGAGCATGTGAAGTCCGTATCGGTCAGGTTTTCTCTGCGTGTCCGTGCAGCACAATCACATTGATAGGACCCGACAGTGTTCCGACACACCACATGCGCTCGTCCCTCTGTGACACCAGCAAGAGAAACAGCAGCAGCAAGAAAGCAACAATGTACATAAGGAACGGTGCAGAGCAGTTGTCAGTCGTTTGCGTGCACACAAACTCACATGCACACGCACACACACACACACACACACACACACACACACACACACACACACACACACACACACACACACACACACACACACACACACACACACACACCATGTATGCACCATGTATATGCCCGTCGCAAGAGAAGCACGCAAATCTGCAAATGCACTGGGTGTGCACCCACAGTTTTTCTCTTTATAGCAACCATAGCGGATCTGATTCTGATTGAAACAGATCGAGACAAGCGCCAGATAACTGTCTGATCCACACAACTGTCGAAGCCATGTGAATCGACCCCCCCCCCCCCCCCCCCCCAATGCATACCTGGTCTACACCACACAGAGTACATCGGAATAGGACGGCCAAGACAGTTACCTATGCACACCCTACACTTGCTGGGGTAACCAGTATAGACAGCACGCTGCTTTGATAGAAGCAGACACTAGATGCACTGGTACCTTGAAATGAAATTGGAGTTATTTTACCAGCCAGCCTCGGCAACTGGGTACTGGGAACCCAGGGCCAACAGACGTACCAACAACCTCAGCCATGAAAGCTATATAGTAACGACACACTGGATTGTGGAGCCGAAACTAATCCAACTTCCAAAATGCTTTGGCAAGGGGGTAGCCTTACACACACACACACACACACACACACACACACACACACACACACACACACACACACACACACACACACACACACACACACACACACACACACACACACACACACACACACACACACACACACACACACACACACACACACACACACACACACACACACACACACACACACACACACACACACACACACACACACACACACACACACACACACACACACACACACACACACACACACACACACACACACACACACACACACACACACACACACACACACACACACACACACACACACACACACACACACACACACACACACACACACACACACACACACACACACACACACACACACACACACACACACACACACACACACACACACACACACACACACACACACACACACACACACACACACACACACACACACACACACACACACACACACACACACACACACACACACACACACACACACACACACACACACACACACACACACACACACACACACACACACACACACACACACACACACACATCGCCGGAGGCGATGATAGCGATGCTACAGCAGAAGCCATAGCAGCTTGTGCTGGGATTGCACCATTCAACAGCTTGCAAGGCTGAAGAATTGACCACCGCTATTTAGCCTGGTCTACACCACACAGCTATGAAGTGGCTTTTCTGGTCAGTGAATCCCTACTTTTTGGTCTTTTTCATTTTTTTTCACGCACACACATCACACCACATACTCCGGCATGCACTGGCTGTTGGTAACCACCCAGGAGAATGAAAGAAAAGTCAGGAGGAGTCTGAGAAATTGAAGAAAGACGCGTGTGACCATAATCGTCGGGAATCGAACCCGCAACCTATCGATTGGAAATCGCTGCACATACCACTGCACCATATGGGACACACACACACACACACACACACACACACACACACACACACACACACACACACACACACCTGTCCTGTCCTGTTGAGCCACTGCCATGAAGGTTACGTGGGCCCCGGAGGGGCAGCTGAGAGAGAGGAGGAGCACACAGCCCTGTGACGATCCAGGTGATGCGGTAAGCGAAATCGGCGGGAGCAGGCGCAAACACACGTGAAACCCTGATGGTCCTGAACGGTCGGACGACTACAAGTCCGCGAGCAGCGATGACGGGCGCGGCCACGTGTAGACGCAAAGCAGCGGTCACAAGCCTGGCAGTGAGCGACGCAGCACAGCGGAGAAGCAGGCAGCGGCAGGGGCGCACCGACTGCCGACTGGGGGTAAGTACACTTGTGCCTTGCCAGACCTCCACGGGA